CCAGGATCCATCGACCATCGGCTGAAACGTCCATACCAGTGATGGGATCACCCAAAGCAGGAAGTTGAGTCTTGGCCCTGATTCCAAGCCGATCAAAGAGACGAATATCACCCTTGTTACTTGCTACGGCAATATAGCCCTTCTCAGTTGTCGCGAGAGCGGAGAAATCGTTCTTGGAAGCGTACTGCTTCAAGTCCGAATCCACAAGCTTGTTACCAGACAAACGAGGGTCAACTCGGAAAAGGGCGTTGTGTGAGATACCCAAGAACGTCTGCTCTGAACTCATCTGGGCGAACTTGTTCTCTGGGGCAAATGTTGTAACGGGGATATCGTCATGAACGTTCCACTCATCTACAACCTTGCCGTATTCAATGTCCATGCGGTACAGCTTGGTGGGATCAATGTCATTTTGCATAATGAGATCTCTGTCCTCGCTGTGTAGCATAACCTTCTTTGGATTCAGGAGTTTTCCGTTGGGTGCCGTGACCTTGGAAATATTGGTAGAGAATTTCAGACGGTTATCGGGCGTATGAGAGAAGACTCCGATCTTGGAACCACGAACGACAAATGATCGGTCGTGCTTGTAACCAACAGCAAGTTGGGAGTTGACTTCTCCATCTGCCCTCTCCTCAGCATCCTCATCCTCCTCGGAGTCGTACTCTCCACTTCGGACACCTTCGTCCTCAGTTTCAGTTTCCTCCTCCTCCTCTTCCTCTTGTTCCTCTTCTTCGGCAGGGGCATCTTCCATGTTAAGGTCGCCAAACGAATCTAGAACATATTCTCGTTCCTTTTCTTGAATCTTGGCCCACTTGGTCTCGTTCAATTTCTCCCAGATGGCTTGCATTATGGCCTGCTGGAATCTCTCCAAAGTAGGCTGATCCTTGAAACGGAGCAGCCAAGATCTTGCAGTGCCATCCTTGGCGAAGTGGTTGAAGACGAAGGAAAGGTATTCAAAGTCGAAGACGGGGTTGAACTCGGCAATGACTGGGGTTCCAATATAGGCCTTGCCATTTCCTTCAATCTGCAACCAGTACTCCCACTTTCCAATCTCTGAAACCGTAGCGATGATGGAGTCGTTAACCAAGACGAAATGTCCTGGCTGGGGATCAAAGAGGTGAAGTTCTGCAGTCACGGCGGCGTAAATTTCGAGGGGCTCAGGTGCGGTTTCTACCTCTGGGATTTGTGGGGAGGCTTCTTCCTCTTCCATCACCTCCTCCTCCTCTTCTTCTTGGAACTGCTCTTCTTCGTTGAACTCTTCCTCTAGCAATTGCTCCGGCGTGGCCTCACGCTTAGCCGGAGTGTTGACAGTACTCCTGGCTACCATGTCGTCGACGGAGTGAATGGAGCGCGTAAGCGTCGGGCTATGAAGAGGGCTTGCAGGAGGAATAGGGTGCTCCTCTTCGAATTCAAACTGCTCAAAATCCTCGTCGGAAGCAGTGGTGTGAGGCTTGCGATATTTGCGCTCGTACTGGCACTCCTTGGCTATTCTGATAAAGTCCTCGACCTGTGCGGATGGGACAACACTGTCACAAACGAACTCGTAGAGGTCGCCGTTGTCGCCACTTAAATCTCTCCAGGCCAGAACGGTTTCGCCCGCTTCCCTGGCTTCAACTCGAAAGTGCAGGGCCTCGTCGAGCAAGAAGGTCTTCTCGTCACGCTCGGCGGCGAATGCGTCGATCTCGTTGTCCTCTTCTTCCTCAGCAAGGAGTTCGGCTTCTCCCTCTTCAAAGACACGCTGAACGACAAGCTGGTACTGGAAATCTTGGTTGGTGCGGCGGATGCGAATAGTAGAGTCCTTGAAGATGAGCTCGGAGTAGCCCTTTGGCGAGAGGGGTCGAACGAGGTAGAGCTGACCCTGAGGGAGCTCAATGAGGGATTCTTGGGTGGTTGAGCCGAAAATCAGCTTGCCAACTGTGTGATTTAGTAGTTAGTAAAGAGATTTGAATGCTAGTTGGTATGTGGTGCGTTGTGTTGAATGGTACCTAGTAGGTAGTAGAATGAGGTGTTGAAGTTGGCGGGGAGGAGGGAATGAATGCGATGAGACAAACAGAAGGTACTTGTAGGAGAGGAAATGCAGGCAGGGACATGGAAACTCGCATCCAACCAATGCGTTGGCTTAACGAGGCGGGGAGAGAAGGGGGGGAGACCACAGCGGGTTTTCACTTTTACATACCATTCCTCAGAACGAACATGCTGACAGTTTTATTTCCGCGTACGGTTCTCTAGCAGCAACGGCTGCTTTGTGTTTTTGTTGCTTCGAGCGTGGGAGGAGAACGGAGGGAAAGAAAAAAAGAAGTTTTAGGTAGTAGTGGTGGGTAAGATGGAGAAGAAGAAAAGAAGAAAAAAACTGAGTCGTGGCAGCCCAATGTAGCGATAACGAAGGTCTCGAGGGGCAACGGTAGATGTCAATACACCAAAGATGTTGAATGAGGCAAGATTTGTTCGCAAAGGATTCTCAAGGAGAGAGATTCAACTTTTAGATAGACAACTTTGAAGCGCACTCGACTCTGCGTCATAACAAAAGAAAAAGGATGGCACTACCTGTTAGTGGACGGCTGCCTTATAATAATACCTAATAAGCAAGTTGGTGTGGACGAAGTAAATATTGGAGGGGTAAAACAAGAGATAAGCTTGTGTTTGTTGACATTTGCCACAATACAATTGCCACAGTTACCAGTTGCAAGGTTCATTTGCAGTGGCGGTGCAGACTCAACTTATTTACAAGTATATCTTCGTAAATCTCTCGAAAGGAGAGCTTGTATTTACATGTTAAATAATTACAGTAGGATTAGTATGAATTTTGATGATTTGTTCTTGGTCTATTATCTGTGCTGGGTTATCTTGATTTTCTCTGTGGTTTGCGATCGCTGCCTCATTCGGTGCTCAGAAACTTGAACATTGTCACATGACTTGCCTGGGAACACTTTGGGCTTGCCTTCATTAGGAATACGCACACCCACTCGCTTCTCATGATTGATCAACATCTCATTTATCTGCTACTCATTTGGACCGTCAGATCAAGAAATCGTCATTGACATCATCGCCCTTTAGCCGGTATCGATTGATATGTGCACTATTTCATCCATCTTCCAGCGCAGTTTGTACTGCTGTTTCAAGAAGCAAACAATACACAAAGGATCGTCTTAACATCACCCGGTGCTTCACAAGGTTAAAGTTGACCGATGAGCATCCTCACTCTCACCAGCTTCATCAAATTTAAATCTGATACTTGGGAACTATCAAGAGTTCTTTAGCTGCTTGACCCTTGTTTACGAGCTGTTTATATGGAATCTTAGTGCCAATAGATTCTGTCAACTTGCAGCCCAAACGGTCAACAACCAGAGGCTTACTTGAAATGGATGCGTCATTCAGGCCGACTTCATTCACACCTGAACAAACTCACTAGACAAAAAGACGGACGCATGAAGCGTTGAACTAGCGCATAGTCTATCCTCTGCTCCGCAAGTCGTATCATTCTGCTACTAGGAGCTTCTAGATGCATAGAGCAAACTTGCCAAGCTCAGCATGGCGGTCCTCTATTAACAATTCACCCCATACCAATAAAGCATTGAGGAGCAGGGGCCCAACCATACTCAGACATCCCTCGCCCATCCAGAGTATCAAGCTTCACCCAGCTCGGCGTATAATCATGGACAGACCCCCTGCCGTAACAAGTTAGAGCGGCGAGATGGCCGAGCGGTTATGGCGCCAGGTTAAGGATACCTTAACAGGAATTCCTGGTGGAGCAATCCTCGTGGGTTCGAATCCCACTCTCGTCAGTCACGACTTTTTGCAGTGGCAGGGTGATTCTTTTTGATGTTATGATGTTGTTACAAGAGTGTATGCATGCAATGCACCAAAGCAGATTTGCAAATGTAGATGATTCTTAAACCAACGAGGAATGTAATAGATTCATTCAATTAAGGATTTAATGTCTTTACTTATAACCTGTGGAATCATGAATGTGAGCTCTTATGATAGAACTACCTATTAATACGCTATACGCTATGCTTAATGATTGAACCGACTCGGCCTTTCAAACCATATCTCTGCCATGCGATTATGAATAATAACAAACAGCTCTCAATGCTTATAATCACCCGCTTCTCCCTTCCGCCGACGTGGTGCATTAGAAACATGTTCCATCTCAATAGGCTGCCCACGAACATATCCCGATTGTCTGGCCCTGTGCAATACTTCGTGGACTGTACTAGGATGAAGGCCGTAAATGAGCGCCGTCTGCTTCTGTGATACTCCTGTGCCGTAAAGTGTCAACAAGGCCATCTTTGTAGCATTAGAAAGACGGTAACCTCTGCCGACGGCGGCCGATGCATTGATTTGTTGATTTGCTGTACCCGTGTCCGCAGAGGGCTCCAGCGTATTGTTGTCGTGAGACTCTGTTGCCGCATTCTAGGCGATGCCTTTTTCACTGGCTGCTTTTATCTCTTCCTCTGGGCTATCGTCTTCTTCCAACTGCGAGGTGCCGGGAAGTCTGGTATTATAGGCCGACTTTGCGGTGCCGGGGGCTGTTGATTGTGTTGTTGAATCTGAAGAGGGTGATTGGCGAGCTACAGCTGGCTCGATCAATATCGGTTCGAATAATTCAGAACCCCAATGTATCTCCGACCATGGATCTATATCTCGTGCTGTATCCATGTTGAGTATTTGAGTTGCGCGATGTGAATAAAAATGGTCTTGATGATGTTCTGTACTACAGGAAATGTTCGATTATGTCTTATGACTGTATAAACTTGACCTTGATGTTCTTTTTTCTTTCCTTTTTATTTTTTTGTCAAGAGTCTGACTTGCTATATTTTAATTAGGCACGGTAAAATCCTATGGCAGGTAAGAAATAATAGAAGTCGGCGAAGAGATATCATGGCAGCTCTTTCATATCCTCTGTTCTCTTCTCTTCTCTTGCCTCATGAACCATCCGCAGTGAAACTCCCACCAAGGTTCCATAGTAGATATTACGCTACCCCCTTCCATGTCAAACAGCGGGTCAGATGGCCGAGCGGTTATGGCGCCAGGTTAAGGTTACCTTAACAAGTAAATTCCTGGTGGAGCAATCCTCGTGGGTTCGAATCCCACTCTGATCAGTTTCTTTTTTGCTTCTGCTCATCAGCAGCAACCAATAATGAGGGAACTAGAGTTTTTCGGGTCTTAGTGGAGGTGGAGGTGGAAGGCCCTGCGAATAGCAGACTGTTCTCCCCCTCCAACCCAACGCAAGTCAAGTCATCTCCACCACCAATTTTCTGATGGGTCCTCTTGCTGCACGAGGGACAGGACAACATCCCCACGTTACCCCAGACGCCCACCATGAGTCTATTCTTTTTAAGATTCTGACGCCGTTTCTCTTTCTTTTCTTACCCTGTTCGGATGAAGGCGTGACACGAGTTTTGCCCCGTAACGTACCGTCTACTCGGGAAAATCGGCTCAGATGCGTGCACTCTTTTGCGTTGCATTGTCTACTGAAGCACGCGACTCCGCATATTACATCAGGTATTGCATCAGGCAGGGTATGCATGATCGGGTAACTTGCATTAAATCCTACGCAGCACATCCTAGTGGCGCAGGCAAGATTTCAGGGCACTTCTCACCAATCAAACATGGGAGGAGGAGGAGGAGGAGGAGGATGAGGACCAACAACATCCAGATCCTTCATTAGCAAAAACACAAAAGGGCAACACCCATCTTTTGTGAAACGATTCGCCAGCCTTGGACATTCCGCCGAGAGCCAAACAGTCATAGTCGCCCGGCTTCTGCTTGTGCTAGCGAGAAGCCTTCTCCGGGGTGGCGCGCGACCACCGAGTTTCTTGATCCTAAGAACAGCCATGCATAACCATGGATGTTTGCAGTGTATTATTAGCACCTGCAAGACATCCATTCATTCGCCAAGGGGAGGGGAGGGTCTGCTGACTCCCACCTATTACGTCCGCACCATTTGACGATCCGTCACTGCCAGCTGATCGTTTGCTCCCGCTCTCCCGCTCAGCCTTGTTAGTGGGCGCTGTCTTGGCTGTGTTTTTTCCCCTTCTTCTTCTTCTCCCTCCCACCCCCGGCACAAGAAGCGTCATCAAGCCGCCAGCGCGCCCTACCGAGTAGTAGGTGAGAATGTGGCTCCTCGTAACGCCCTATTAATTGTCCAACAACGGTGCGTGCACCAATAACGTGTGATCCGAGGTGCAACGGTCTGTCGGCTGCCTGCCAAGATGTAATCCTGCCTCTTAGTCATGGGGCGGAAGGACGAAAGAATGAAAGAGCCGCCCGTAGTTTTCGTCTATGCTGATCACATACGCCCGAAGGGAACATGTGTATATATAGTAGGTAAGTATCTAGTTAGTAGGTATCATGGATACTATATAAAGAGGTATGACTGTATTTTTTAGCCCGAGTTTCTCTAGCCTCGGCTCCGTGCATTCACTCTTTCTTTCTTACCTTATTTCTCCCTCGACATCCCTCTCATCTCCATATTCTTCATCTTCTTCTTCTTCATAATTTCTTTTCCCCTTCTTCATTGTTCGTTGTTAGTTCTCTCTGTCTTTGTCTCCGTCTCTTTCGCTTTCCCCTCATGACATGGTCAATTAAATCACGACTGGGTGGCAGAGCCCCCAAACCTTCAACCATGGGCTCTGTCACCGAGTTCTTCAGCTCGCAGATTGGCGGCGAATCCGTCATCAACTACGCATACACTGATTTCCCCTGGCGACTTCTCGCAAAGGACGTTTACTATTTCTTCGTTTATTCCTGGGCTTTACCGTGGGTCTTGTGGCCCCTCTGGCCCTACGGCTCGGGTGCGCTTGATGAGCTGTACCCGGAATTCAGAAACCTCTTCTGCATCGTCGTCCACATCGTGCTGGTCTTTCTTCAGCTGGGGTTCCTCTTGGCGGTGCCCTTGATACTGTTCCTCCCTGCTTGGATCAGTATTACGGGCATCTCAGGGTTCTTGGTTATGAACTGGCTTCTCTGCTTCTCGCTGAATGGGAGACAGCTCACCTATAGGTCTGAAGAGAAGTACGCCAAAGAACGGCCAGAGCATGCGCATGAGCAGTGGGTATTTTTGAACGGTGTTTCTGTTGGGTAAGTCATGTTGAAGCCCCTTAACTCTGTATTCTATCTAACCCCATGCTCCTTTACAGTGAACACTGGATGAAGATGAACTTGAATCGCCTGGCCCTCACATTTGGACGCCCGGTTCTTGGAATTCACAACAAGACTGCTGGCATCATATTTGACGTTATCGAATGCCTCATTCAGCGCAACCTCGGCTATGCCACAACTGATGTTCGGATTTGCTACAGACTCCTCAAGGACATCTTGTACGATCCCAGCAAATCCAAGGTTGTATTTATTCTGCATTCGCAGGGCGGTATTGAAGGTAGCATGGTACTCGACTGGCTTCTTCAAGAAATGCCCCAAGATCTCCTCAGCAAGCTGGAGGTCTACACCTTCGGCAACGCCGCCAATCACTTCAATAACCCCCACCGTCACATCTTTTCCCAAGGCTTGTCTTTCACGAAGCCGTTGGAGGCCGTAAATTCCTTTGTAGCGGAAACGAGCTTCGAAAGTCCCGCGTCCAGTCCCGTGGAGGAAAAGAAGAAGCAGCTAAAGACGCCGCCCCCATTGCAGACACAAACATCCTCCATGTCCTCGTCCCGAACCTTTTCCGTCGCAAAGGATAGAGCGATTGGCCATATCGAGCATTACGCGCACAGCACAGATTTCGTGGCCATCTGGGGCATCCTCCACTTTGCAACCAACCGGATGGCATCTCCGCAGCTCCCTCGTTTCCTGGGCCGCCTGTTTAACCGATCCAACGGTCGCGGCGGCCATCTGCTCACACAGCATTACCTCGACGGCATGTTTCCTCTGAAGCGTGACCCCACTACCGGTAAATTTACTGGCGCAGACGAGGACAATGCATTCATGGAGGAAATCATCAAGTTTGGCGAGGAGGGAACGGCAATGGATAATGCACGCGAAGCATTCGATATTAGCTACGGGGGTACACGGGGCTTTGGCACAGGCTTGGTGACGACACCCGTCGAAGTGTACGACAAGTTCAACCCACGGAAGAAGGCCAGGAAGGGCGTCAAAGTCAAGGAGTTGAGCCGCCTGTGGCTCTACAGGAATGGTTTCAGTCCCCCAACACCTTCGCCGATGATGGTGACTGAGCTTGTGGGCGTGGTTAGGAACGCTACGCTGTAAGATTAGGGCATCACACATTCAGATGCAAAGAAAGCGCCGGCAGCAGATGGCTTTATATGGTAGATTGTGATTTTGTATTAGAGGCATGGATAGAGCATGGTTAGTAAAGCTAGCCTTTCTCGCTTTTTATTAGAGGCATGAGATATTACGCATTGTATGGCGATTGGAGTGGCATTTCTCCTGTATAGTTCAGGCCGACAAAAAAGCATGCATTTCCTTTTTCAGATAGGCTTCTTCGAATAGAATATGTAATTTGATTCTTTGCAACCTTGAATGTAGAAATAAACAGGGCAAGCGATCATGCGATGGAAAGGGCAAAAAAATGAAGCTGCTTCTGATCAGAGTGGGATTCGAACCCACGAGGATTGCTCCACCAGGAATTTACTTGTTAAGGTAACCTTAACCTGGCGCCATAACCGCTCGGCCATCTGACCCGAATGGCGGATGTTGAAACTCGATCAGCCTAATGATTCTGATGCAGGCAAGGTGGACGCAGAGCTGCCTGCGCAGAGAAGAGGAGATTTAATTATGGGAAAGCCCTAAGAGGAGATGGGGTGGTAATGGTATGCGATGATTATGAGTTTGTGGGGGCAACTTTCCACCAAGTTGTTGACATACGTCTTACTGGAATAAATATGTTTTTGATAGAAAAATAAAAATAAAGATGAATTCAAGGAAAAGATCAAGTGGTATCATTTGCTATCCTAAGAGAAATGCCAATATTTTCATCCTCACCATGAGGCTATGAATCCTATATACAGGATGACTGGTATGATATGTTATGGTATCAGTAAAGTATATATGCGCCCTCTCTCTCTCTCTCCCCAAAAAAAAGAAAGAAAAAAGAAAAAAGAATGCCAAGTCAATGCCAAAAAGAGAGAGAAATAAACCAAGCAAAGAAAATGCAGGAGATTGATAGTTTCATATACGGCCATTCATTTTAATGACGTTATCGCCAGACGCCTCGATGGCCATTTGGGTCTTCAGCTTGTGAACCCGTGCCATTTCTTGCATAATACGCTTCGGCTCGTTGGTCGCTTCAAGGGGCTTTGCTAGACGAAGCTTGGAGAGAATGCCGTTTGTGGTGGCATACACGTAATAGTAGAGACTGATGGAGCCCAGGTAGATCATGGGGACGACACTGAGCGGGATATTGCCTGCACACAACGTTAGCTTCAAGAGTCGCATCGATATATGAGGGATGAATACTTACCAAACAAACCCTCACGACGTTCAATGGTTTCCCACAGTTCGCCCGTCATGACTTCGGCTGCCCCATCCCACTTCCAAGGGCCTGTCATGCGGAACTTGGAGTTGAAGCAGGCTCCAGCGGCCCAGATGTACGGTAGCCTCCAGCCTTTGCGAGTCCCAAACGAAATCTTGAGAATTTCCAAGAAACCGGGTGCGGCATCAATATCCTTGGCCAATTGGTATGCGTAGCTGTCGTGCTCGACGCCATATGTCACGCGTGCATTAGGGGCATGGATAATGCGGTAGTGCCACTCATCATCTGGGTTCAGAGGACGAGGGATGTGATTGATCAAATTCATGGTGAAAAGCATGGACTGCATCTCCGCCAGAGGAGGAATGGCGCCAAAGCCTGGGCGGATGAAGCCAATGAATCCGACAGTCGGGTCTTCAGAGTTCCAAATCTGTCTGACGTCTGCGTCAAACGCGCCGGGGTAGGCTTTACGGCCTTCATTGTCAGCCGTGTTGAGGAAAGGGAACGACTGCAAATAGCCAGTGGCATAGATGATGACATCTGGCTTGACGGTGGTTTGGTTGATGCGATCAGCCTCAGGTCGGCCGTTGATGGGGAAATGAGCAACTCCATCACTTGAGATATGAGTTGGGATTGGTGCAACCTCAATAGTTCGGGTTGGAGGGGGAT